GGAGCTCCTGGCGCTGCCTGTATGGGGCGGACCAAAACAAATGCATCCTGGATGATGCCATGCCAGCGTAAGAGTCGGTATTGAGCCAATGGATTGCAGATAAGTTTTTGGCACGACGCAGCGCATGAATGCCTAGTAGATAGTAGATAGTAGATAGCAGATAGTAGTAGTAGTAGTAGTTGTAGTAGTCACTCTACTTCACTTGAATGCAATATTTTCTTTGCTGATTTATAAAGCCTTCTTTCCAGTGCTAGCCGCGTCACAAACTTCCAAGACCAGTTATGTTTCCTGATTTTTCCAGAGGCATCTGCCCGAGATTTCTTGAAGTCTTTACCGAAACTCGTACCCACACCCGTAGTTGTCCTCAGGTGTCTCTCCAGCCTAGCCCGTCGTGTGTAGGTCAGCAATACCCCTGGTTTTACACAGCGGGTGAAGGTCGTAGATGAAGGAAAACATGCACAATATCTCATACTTAGCGTTTACCTGCCTACTTTCTTAGTACAAAACGTAATAATGCAGCGAGTTATTTTGACTTCTGGCTGACCATGTTTGGTTTTCTGGTGGCTTGGCACCCAAGGCATGGTCAAGGGCGTCACCAGTGCCGGGGTCGATGGGCTTCGGACCCCAGGAACTTCCGTGCATGTTAGACTTCTTCTGGGCAATGACCATATACGACGATTCCAAACTGGAAATGGAACCCAGTAACATCTCAAGTGTCCTTTTTTCATACCTAGGCCACCTCCCCTAGCTCATCTTGCAAAGCAAGCTGGACCCCTGCTTTGTACATTCCTAGTGTTAGGATGTGCGCATGATTTGCTCTGGTGATTTTTTAACACATATTCTCGGTGCTTGCTTGCTTGCCTTCGTCTCCCAATGACATTTTTACGTTGCTATTTGCCAAAGAGACACAAACACATCTTCATTTATAAGACAGCCATGGTGTTGACCGAGGGGTCATGCCGTATGAGTGTCCCTGACTAAATAAACTTTAAACCAACTTACGCACTACATAAAAATGATGCAAAAGAGGCTCAGAAATTATTAACGGTGGTCCACAGAAAGGAAATCTGGGAACTTAAGTATGAACTAATGGCGCGCAAGTGCTGATCAGATCCAAGCATAGCAAGCGCTTTGTCGGACGTATTTTGATAGGTGGCTGCTAGATGTTCCATCGCGCCATATTGCATGATAGACTTATTTATGACGTCTGCGGGAATGCTTTTCAACCACGACTGTCAGTTGCCGGTTATTCATGAGTATCTTGTTCATGAGCAGTTAGCCCTTGATCACCTTGATGCACGGCATGGGCAGCAGACGAGAGGAGCTGCGGGGATCAGGCCAAAGGATTCCCAATGTTGTAGACGTAAAGTATTAAGACTAAGGTGCACGCATCAGGTATCCTGAACTCGAGGGGATCTAACCCCTCCCCCATCCCCTAGTCTGAGGATGGCCATCCCAGCGCACAAATGATAACTAATCGCAGGGTGACATTTCAGACAAAGGTTCACACGAGAAGCACATCTAGAATACTTAGCTAAAATGTGAGCGAGAGGTCAAAGCTACAGCCCAAATCTGACCTCAGGGTCGCGTCTGTAAGCGAGAGATCAAAGCTACAGCCCGAATCTGACCCCAGGGTCGCGTCTGTGAGTGAGAGGTCAAAGCTACAGCCCAAATCTGACCCCAGGGCCGCGTCCCTTGTCCCCAAACGTCGTCCACAAATCGCAACCTAAGACCTCACCGGTAAATACGTCACAACAGTTCTTACGCATTGGAGTATAGCCATTTGAGTGTGACGTAGGCACTTGGGCGTCGCAGCTGGCAATTGAGGGCCACGTTTCTCATTAGCAACAGCTGTCCACAAGCGTGTGTCCCCGGCTACCTACACCTGTCCATTAGTGTGTCATTTACGCCAGTTTTGCCTTAAACATGAGACCAAAACACTGGCATGTGGTATAGTACGACGACCTTGAAAATCACGTACAGGCATTTCAGGCCGATTCAATCATTTCAATTTCATTATACGTTAGCTCTATGGATCCACGCATGCCCTGTCCGCTGGTCATGCGGCGCAACGATTCCGTTGTAGTTTTGTGCGCACTTCGCCATTCCCAAGGAATTATCATCAGGGGTTTACTTTTCTTTGACACCTGGGCTGTTGACATGTAATCATCTAAGGGTTTATGTACGACCCACTCATCCACGATTTTTCGTTTTGATACCATCTAAGGGTGTGTCCAGAAGTGTGTGGGTATTCCCATCTCGCTGCATCGTGCACTTTTGTTGAATTTTGCTGAAAAGATGATGCATGGCCCACCAACCTGCTCCCCTCCCCCCGGCGTCATTGGGGCTTTACGACGCACTCAGATGCTGAGTCAATATGGCGTCGCATGCACTCTGGCAAGAAGGGCGCACACCGCGAGGGATCGAACCCCGCGCCTTCGGTTTTGACAGCCAAACAAGTACAGCACCGGTATCCCCGCATCGCTCTGCGTTCCCAGTCTGCGAACCCGGTAATTCTGTTCCCTGAAGTTAGCCACCGAGCAGGCCGCCTCATCCGCTCTCTGAGAAAGCGGGTCGGAACAGGTAATTTTCATTCTTAGCTGATGCTGGTTATCATGTCGTAGCTAGTTGTCATGTCATAGCTAGTTATCATGTTATCGCTCATTATCATGCCCTAGCTGGTTAACATGCTAGATGTCAGCAAACTTCTTTGGTAGCTGACGATAGTGAGAGGAAAAGAGCACGTCAGTTTGAATCAATAGGCTAGGTGACTACAACGTTAAATTTAACGTCAGGCGCTAACAACTATTATCGTTGGCGTTTCTTTTCTACAGGGTCGTAGAAAATGACCCCTGTGATCGATGCGACTCCCTAGACACACCACTAGGCACACATTGCTTACTCAAAACTATCGGAAGTTCTCGTAGTACGGGTGCCTCCAGGTCCGTAGGTATATTCTTTGGGGCGTAAAATTGTGTTGAAACTGAAGCAGATTTGAACCAAATTCCTGCGAAATTGCTCGAAATCAAGCGGAAATCACCTGACGCAGGCAGCGGGTGAGGGGTGGGGGGGGGGGGGGAGGGATGAGCGGAGGAGAGAGGCATGGGGCCTAGTGACCCCTTGGATACGTGGATGCACACTGCATAATTGTTTTTGAGCTGATAGCGAGTGAAAGGAAATCAATGTTTGAGCTTCGTATCACCGTGTGAATGCGTACAGAACGTACACCTCAGTTGGTTCGCGCAACGTTTCCCTCTGTTTGTTTAGCATGCTATGTAACGCTTCATATTAAACGCACTCTTGCCATCTGAAATTTGAGAAGAAAAAAAACTTCAAAGTGGTATGTTGATACAGTGGGCTGACTGGCATCGATGCTTTCGGCTGCTGGTGTAGCGGTAGTAAGGACCTGTTGGGCGATAACGATGTCACATCCCTCACGCCTTTCGTCTCCTGGCGTGGTGGTTGTTCGGGCTTGTTGGGCGCTATCGATGTCACATCCCTCACGCCTTTCCTCCGCATGCGTCCGTGCGAACAAACCGCAGATCGCAACACACACATTCCATATTGTCGTGTCGCCCCTCAGCCAGTGCTGAAGAGGATCAGCCGGACCAAACGCCGTCAGCTCGCGACCGACATCGGTGGCCTCATTTCGAGGAGCCGCTCTCAATAAAAGGGGCGGGCCGAGAACGTACCCTCCCCCAGCGGAGGCCCGGCCCGCCGCTCCGGTGGAGGCCAGGCCACAGCCTCCAGGAGTGCGGCTTGCACAGCCACCGGGGCGGGTCTCTGGCCAGGGCGAGGGCAAGGACACTGGATACAGGCGGCTACCCTTCAAAGGGAGTGTTCCATATTTGTAGAGGGTTTTGGACTGGAATAGCCACCCTGAAGATCATTTGGTGCAGTTCACATCCCTGCCATTCTTTTCAGAAATCCCCCAGTTTTTTATCCACACACCCGCGTAGATGTGCAGACTATTTTGTGCAGACTATTTCAAGGTCACCCAGACATCCATGACGCCGTAATTACGTCATTCAAATCCTGACATTCGTGCGTCTTTCTTTACCCATGCGACGAACAAGGGCAAGAAAAGTATAATTGTCGAGTCCTCCATACATGATGCTCGTGAGCACGATTTCCAGATATAACGGCAGTAAATTGGCTCTCAATCAATGTTGTGTGAGAGTGCGATGACGCAATCAAACAAGGACGTACTGAGGAGCATGTTTACTAACTAGAGAACTTGTGTTGCCTAGAGCAGTTTTTCCATTTAGAAGTATGCCAATAGTTAAAAGTGAGCTTATTTCGTCATATGTGATACTTGTTTCAGTAGTTCAAATATAGAGGATTTAATTGTAAACTGGAGACAATATGCGTTAAACAGAGGAGCATATAGAGAAGGCGTTACAGTCGGCCCATGGCAACCAATGGGAAGGAATGGCTCAAGCCGGTGCGGCCCCAGTGCCCCTCACCATTCTCAATGCTCTCGTCTCCGTTCGAACGGGACATCTTTTGAGATTCCTGCCAAGTGCCTGCCTCCCTCCCATGGGCCTGCCGCCCCGTCCCTTGGCCTCCTCCCCGGCCAGTCCTCCGCACTCGGGACCGCGTTTCACCTGGCTAAAGCTCCGGGCGTATTTCTCGGCCTCGGGGTCGTTGACCGCGGCGGGGGCAGCCTTTGCAGGCGCCATCGGGAGCGGCGCGCGGGCAGCCGCTTTCACTTTTGCCGGCTGATGTTGGCGGCGAGTGCCATGCGCCGCCGTCGGGTAGGCCCCGCCCCGCAGCCAGCAAGCGCGTTGATTGGTCGTAAAACGGGGACAGGGTGCAGGCTCCGCCCCCGGAGGCGCGCGGCCTGCGCGGCGGGCCTTTTGAAGAGGGCGCGCCGCTGCCGCCGCCGGCTGATAAAAGCGAGCCACCGGGCGCGCAACTCAGTTCCGTCCGGGCAGGTGTCGGGGAGGCACCGTTCATCCCACCCATCACGCGCCCAGCACGTGCTCGACGCCGCCGCCATGTCCGGAGCCAGCCAAGCCGTGCAGCCGATGCGGGTTGACCTGGCGCCGCCGGCCACGCTCATCCCCTACTCAGTCGAAGACCTGACCTCCGGCTGGCTGGAGGCGATCTTGCGCCGCAAGCACGGCGACTTCTACAGCATCGGCGCCCACGACAGCTACGGCCTCAAAGGCAACCAGATCGCGGCCTGCAGCGACTTGCGCTGCTTCACCGCCCGCGGCCACGTGCGGGGTCACGAGGTCATCGATCACGTGATCGTCAAACTGCTGCCGGTCAACGAGCTGATGCGACGCGTTGTGATCGACCACCGCATGTCGCACTGCGAGACAATGGTGAGTGCCAGCCGGGCTCGTCGCCGCGGCCATTGTGCTCGGACGAGGTCAGGGGTCAAGTGACCTGCCAGGTGTGCCGGCGGATGGTGACGGGTGTGAGGGCACGGACTCGCTGTTTGTGGTCGCAGGGTTAGGCTCTGGTGTGCTTACCACGCCAGCGATACGTCGGGGGTGCTGCTGAGGGGTGCAGGTCACCGAGCCTGAGTGGTGCTGCAGAGAGCCCGGCCGCGGTGCTGGTGTGGCGACACACTGCTGAGCGGCCGGCGAGCGATCTTGCTTAACGAGGCGATCGTGGAGCGCTGCTCTGGGCCCCAGAACATCCCATCCTCGTTGCAATTTACGCATCACAACCGACCGAAGGCGGCCAAGGAAACACGACCGAGGAAGGTGGCCGACGACGGCCGGTGGCCGGTGGCCGACGACGGCCGGGACCGGTGGCCGCTGGCCGGTGGCCGGTGGCCGACGACGCTGCGATTGCACGGCGCGCGCCATTCGTCCGTGGCTCGGCGCTGGACGTCGCTGAATGAGCGCACCGGTACTCTCCCCACGCGGTCCCTCCCGAAGCCGCGACGCTGGCACCGAGGCGGAACCGTGCGACCGTCCGACCGCGCCTCGCGTGGACGGCGAAAGCCTGCATTCCGCGCGGCACGCGCCGGGGCCTTGAGACAACCTTGCCTGGGAGACAACCTTGCCTGGGAGCTGCGGCGCCACGAAACGAGCGCCGTTCGATGCGTCGCCGGCGGTCCGCCGTCGTAACGGGCGCGTCCGCCGTGTAGCCGGAGCCTTTGAGCGCCGCTTATGGCCGGCTTGGCGCGCCGCTCGACCGCTTATGACCGCAGCATCGGCCGCTGCGTCTCACACGCGGCGGCACGCTCCCACGATTGCCGGAGACCGCCGCCCCGTCGACGGCGTGTTTTCACTTTTACCGGCTCCCTGCGGCAAGGCGCGCGCCATTGGGGCTTTACGACGCACTCAGCTGCTGAGACTATACGGCGTTGCCTGCCTCTCAGCCTGGCAGGAAGGGTGAGAAAGGGCGGACACCGCGGGAAGGAAGGGGGAGGAAGGGCGGACGCCGCGGGGAATCGAACCCCGTACCTCCGGTTTCCCAAACGTGTTGTGATAAACGCAGACGCCTTAACCACTACACCATCGGCGCCCATCCTGCGGCAAGGCAGGGATGAGTGCTCGCGCTTGCGGCTGGGCTACGATGCTGCACGGGTTTACAGTGCCTCGACCGAGACGCGTGCGGTCATGTATGTCGCTGCAGGTGCAGTGTTTCTGACTGTCATCAGTCATGTTCGTCACAGCAGCCCGTGTCACAGTCGACAGGGCTGGTCTCATGACCCCAAGGGCACGCGGCCCTGGTTAGAAATTACGAGCACGCCTGTTGTGTACGGCTTGGGGGGGCTTGGCCGGCACGAGAAAAAGGTCACCCTAGCCACCGCGCGCGTCAAACAGTAATGGACAGTGCCTCACTTTGCGGCGGTCCCAGTGCGGCTGACGCCGTCTGGCCATGGCCATGGCCGTCATGGCGCCGTGCCCCATCGTACGGCACACGTCACAGCCGTGCGCGACGCCGGGGGTCACCACCACCGGCCGCTACTAGGGTCTGTTTGTAAACAGACTCCCGTAAAAACACGTGCCCGGGCGGCAGAGCTGACCACACCCACTCTGACCGGGCGCGGCCGGGCGCGCTCCGTCTGGGTTCCGACGCCGCCGGGCTGCCTGGCAGTCGGCCGTGCCCCCGCACAGGGTGACGCAGTGTAGCGCGCGGGCTGTGGGCTCCGTGATGGCTCGCCGTTCCACAGCGCTGACGTCGGCCTTCACATCGTCTAGCGTCATCACATGCCCTGGCTAGTCATCGGCTTGTTAGTAAGCACCAATAAGCGCTACTCTCCTGTCGGCTCTCGCGCTTCTTCCCCCCTCGCCTCACATGGCATGGTGTTACTCTATGCTCGCGATGTTCTTGCTGCTCCCCTGACTGACCTCCGTCCCATCTCCCGTCGCCACCGTCTCCGTACCGCTTCCGTCGCTCTGCTGCCACCGCTTCGTCTTTCGCTCTTGTCCTTCCTGCCCTGTCCGCAGCCGCTGTCGGCTCCCCTTTGCCGCTAACCACTGGGCAGTTGGGGACACTCATCGTCCCCACATCGGTCATAATATGTGCGTTGCCGCCCCTTTCCGCTTAAAACCCACCTCACTAACAACTGCCATCTTACTTCTGGCCCGATATCCCGAAACGTACACGTCCGTCGCTGTTGCGGTTTCTGCCCGTGACTTCTCCTGAGACAGGTCGGTCTCTGGTCAAACGCCTCTCCGTCTCTCATCTCTCCGTTTCGCGTTGGCAGCCTCTCATTTCGGCGTCTGCCGTCGGCCGACCTTCACCTGGTGACCCCCAGAGCTGACCTCAATCGCAGCGCTGCACGCGCCGGCGCCGAATAAACAGGCGCTGACTTTTTCTGGCGCCGCGCCGCCGCCGTCGTCGGCCACCCGGGCCGGTGCACGGCCTGGTGCCCTGCCCTCCACGTCGGCAGACGGACAGCCGTTGTCCCATCGTCAGTGTCCGGGGGCCGGTCAGCGTCCCGGCGAGGCGGGGCAACGAACCTGACGCGCCGGCCGAGCGACGCGACTCGGCGAACCGCGTGGGCATTTCGGTGACGCCGCGGCTGTGACGTCAGCTGGGGTCGGCGCCCCGCGGCCGTGCAACAGACTGAGGGGAGCGACCGCTGCCCGAGCACCTGTCGACCTTGGCGCCAGACGTTCACCCGCCGTCGGCTCCCCTAGACACGGTGACGTCACCTGTCTGGCCGGCGCCCCTCCCCTCGGCGCGCCCGCCGCGCACGTGCGAATGAATCGCGCGCCAAGGGCGGCATTCCGCAGAGTCGGGGCTCCTGGGCCGCCAGCTGCCGGTGCGGCGGCGACACGTCTGAACGCGTCATCCAAGTGGGTTGACCCCGGCCAAGGTCCTCGAACTGCGGGGGCCGTGGCCGGCGCAGTGGTCAGCCCGCCGGCCCGGCGGCACGCGCGGGGCGCTCCCCCTCTCGTCTTCCAGCCGGCAGCCTGGGCGGCGGCCGATGTCCTCTGGTGGGGCCTCGTGGCACTGGACACGAGCGGGTGGAACTGGTTCGCTGCTGGCCGGCCACCGTCGGCCCGCCTCGCGCGATCGGTCGGCGTGCGACGATGTCCCGTGCCGTGTCATAAGCACGCGGCGATGTCCCGTGCCGTGTCATAAGCACGCGGCGATGTCCCGTGCCGTGTCATAAGCACGCGGCGATGTCCCGTGCCGTGTCATAAGCACGCGGCGATGTCCCGTGCCGTGTCATAAGCACGCGGCGATGTCCCGTGCCGTGTCATAAGCACGCGGCGATGTCCCGTGCCGTGTCATAAGCACGCGGCGATGTCCCGTGCCGTGTCATAAGCACGCGGCGATGTCACGTGCCCTGGTTCGGAAGCTCGCCGCGCGGCCAGTTTGGCCAGCCGTGGCGCCGGATTACTTGTTAACGGCCAGCGCCGCTACAGCGGTCCGGGTTTAGAGCGCTGTCGGCTGCGATAAGTTGGATGCAGCAGGCGGATTAGTGCGACAATGCCTCCCGTGGCTTGGAGTATTGAGTATGGTCGGCACTCGCGCACCGCGGCGGCAGCTGCTGGCGTGCCGCGGGCAGCGTTTGGTGGCGTCCGGCGCCTCTTATTAATTCCGTGATGTGCAACGGTGATATGCCTGCAAGTAAAATGGGTCTTGCACGCGAGACAGATCATAAAAGCACGTGAACGTGCCATGTGCACGAACATGGCTATCAAATTTATTCAAGGAAGATGACAGGAGCATTTCATAAATCGGCGAGACGCCATCCACAAAGGCCATCAGATACAAGCATGGGCTCAACCTCATGGACGTCTTCCAGACGCCACCGAACAGATTAATTGGCTCACAGATTCATTGAATTGATGCTATAGGCCCACACTCAGCGTCTCACACCATCCCAAGGACCACCTATTCAGCAATGGTCATATCTGCAAATGAGAAGCGAAGCATTCTTGGGTTCAGGTCCACGTAAGCCGTTGGTTAGGGGCGTTATTGATATGTTGGCTTCACGGAGGTTTTGTTTCCAATGCATCAGCCCAGGTGTCACAGTTTTCCAGGACCTTCGATCAGCCTCCCTTCTAGAACCTTGCAATCCTCCACAGGACTACCTCAGCCGGACTCCGCCTTGTTTTCTGCCCCTTAGCCCCCACCCCCACCCCCCACCCGCCGCTCCGGCCGGCCGACCGACCGGCCGGCCGACCGACGTTCTTCATCGGATGACCCTGAGACCGGCAGCTGCTGGCCTCGTGGGGGGCCCCCTTGTCTGGTATTTTATCCCAGGGTCTGGTGGCCCCGCCAGGACCTTCGTCTGACGCTTGTTATTCGGCGCTGCATGCCGACTGCCGCCTGCTCATTAGAGGGCGGACTTGGCCAATGAGGAAACATTGCGGATTAAACCTGGCAGCGTGCCACCAACCGCAATGCTCGAAGCCGCTTTCAGCGTGGAATGGCACTCATCTGGTGAACATGTCGCGTCCCCGAACTTTTCTACCAGCTCTTGTAAAGCAGTTGGTGTGTTTTTTGTTGTTTTGAGATCCGGTGCGGGTACTGACCTCAGCAAGGCCGGGCCAGTTCTGCGCTTGTCGGCAGATCACGGCGGCACTTCACACCGGAATTCCGACCAATCACAGGGGCGCACGACAGCTCCTCGGGCGTGGCGCCCGTTGCGGCGCCGGTGCCTTTTCGCGTACGGTTTTTATCGGCCACGTCGTCTGCGGCTGCGGCGCGCTCCAGGCGGCAGCTGGCGGCACTGCCACAGCTGCCACAGCTGCTACAGGTGCCACGACTGCGACAGCCGGCCCTGGCCTGTCCCGAGGCCAGCGGCGGCCGCCGCCGACGAGACGACCAGTTCACTCACCTCACACCACAAAAAAGCCCGGCGCGCTGCGCGTGAAAAAGTGCGTACCATCCGGCGGCCTTGGCGAAACGAGGCCGCGGAGGGCCGGCCCCGTCTTGTCGCAGCTGCCACCACAGGTACTGATCAGGTCATTCCTCCCCGCCCCCCCCCCCCCCCCCCCCCCCCCCCCGGCACGTGGCCGGCCGTGACAGACGGCCACCCTTGGCGGCCGCCCTGGGGGGGGGGGGGGGGGAGGACGGCGGTCCGTCGGCGACCTTGGCGCCCCGGTCGAGGGGGCCCGCCTGCGCTGCCTGCACCTCTGACCTCGGCCACCGCCCCTGACCTCGCCACAGTGCCCCGGCGGCGCTCTCTGATGCTTTCGGGCGGTAGCAGCACTCCAATATCCAACGCCATTCCCAACAAGCGGACCGAAATCTGCTGTCTTTGCGGCGTTTTGCATCGCTTCCAACCTGGATAACGGCATGTCGCCGGATGTTGCCTAGGCTCCCGCCGACTTCTAAGATATGCGTCGACTTGTAAATGTAGCTTTACGTGCATTGTGTGCATAATTGCCGCATTGCGCTTACAGGTGAAGGAACTAAGGTAAGGAGTCTGTGATTACCGCGGTTCCTCCACTTTTCGACAATGCTGGACATTAGCTGCGGCGACGCGTGGAAAAAATCGGCTGCAAAATGAGTTCAGCACCTCTGCTGTGTGTGACGTTCCTTCGTCTAAAATAGCGCGCAGATTTTCGTCTGCCCACCTGAACGTGAAATAACTGCAAAAAGGTTATGGACGCATAAATCTGGAAGAGTAATTGGCAAAGCAGTTTTTCATGCATTTGTCGTTGCCTTTGAGCCAGGGACGTGGGATCTCTTTGCTCAGCTACTGACGCCGCTACCGTGGACACTAGCTACATGCCGTCGCACCACGCTGCATCCCTTGTATGGATGATCTTTCCAAGATGCGAACTTCTCTCCAATTAACGTTAGTTCGTGTTCGTGTGCCCCTGTGTTTGCGGGTGAGCCCGTGTTCCGTGAGTGCCCTGACCTTGTCGAGGGCTTCCCGCGCGGGCCGAGCGCCAGCGCCGCAGCAGAGCTCGCCACGCTTGCGGGTCAGGGCTGGGCCCCGGCCGGCCGCTGTCACTCAGCCCCCACTGGTCATCCCTGTTTACTCCGCTCGGTCATCGGCCAAGGCTGTCTTTGTGCCGGCACGCGGAGCATCCGGGCGCACCAGGGCTCGGTCCGACCATACTGAGACCGCGTGAGGCTCGGAGGAACCTGGACGGCACCAGCCGGGCTAAGTGCTCCTGAAGCAGGGCCTTTCCTCCCTCTGTAAATCGCTTCAACGTGTACTCTCGTAGCCGACTTCAGGATCCCTCCTTGTCTCCAGAACTGGGGTCGGGAGTCTCCCGAAAACGTGTCGGGAACAAGCGTACGGAACCACATAGGAAGCTTCTCGGAAGGGACTCCAGAGTGGCCTCGCCGTGTCGGTCGCGTGCGCGCAGGGCTCGCCTCCCGCCGGCCCGTGGCCTCGGCGCCAAGCGCGTGCTCGTCGAGACGTGTCCCGCGCCACTTCTCCGAATCTCCCCGCCATTCACGGCCGGGTTCCCGCCAAAAAACAAAAACAAAAAAAGACGGCGGCTACTTCCTCGCTGGTCCAGATGCTCGTGTGGTACGATTTGGAGGCTGCGCCTGTGGCCGAGCGCGGAGGGGGCGCGGGAGGGGGCTGTCGAAAATCGGGAAGAGAGCCAGGAGAGCCCCGGCGCCCGAGGCCAGCCGCGGCCGGCTTCTGGGAAGCAGGGGACAAGAACCCGGCTGGAGGTCACGGCTGGACACCAGGAAGGCATGTCCAGGCGGGAGAGGGGCGGGGCGGACCCAAGACACGGCGCATACGGCGCCCTGACCTGACGTCTGACTTCAGTCATCTGTTTTACATCAATGTTTGCGATTTTAAGCGCCGATGCCGATTTTGTTATACAATGCGTGTGGTTTATATGCTGATCAACGTGGCGCGCGTATTACAGTGCATTAGGATCGGGGCTGCTAGGATCGTAAACACTTCCTCACGGACAGTCTCCCTGTCTGTGCTGGGTTGTATTGCTTGTTTCAATTTTAAGTATAGTGCAGCTACTGATAATATAAGCATAGAAACATGCATAGAACATGCCAGAAGTAGTTAGTGATATGAGTGCAACCACCCGCAGCGACTTACTGAAAGCACACACACTCGCTTTACACCGGTAACACCTCACCCTCCCACTCGTTGCACGTTACACCGCTCGCCTACCTCAACGTGCAGCGCAGCTGTGCCCCAGGCTACACCGATATGCATCTCACGCCATCCACGTGTTCTCGCGTTCACCTGCCACGCTCGCCTGAACAGTGTCTGAGCTCCTTACCCCCCCCCCCCCCCCCCTCTCCCCGCCTTCCAGTCCCCCGAACCGCGACCGCCGCCGCCGCGCTGACGCCGCGCCCCCTCCGCCGCAGGTGTACAAGGAGCTGCTGCCGGCGCTGCGCGCCTTCGAGCGCCGCCACGGCAGCAAGGACGTGCAGGAGATGACCGTGCCCTGCCTCTATGCCGAGGTGCTCGACGAGCCCGACTGCGCCATCGTCCTCGAGAACGTCCAGAAACGCGGCTACTGGGTGAGTGACGCTGCGAGATCCTGCTGGTCAGCGAGAACTCATCATCAGCATCGTTATCATTCTCACCGTCATCATCGTCATATAGTCTGCGCTTAGCCATGGGCAGTACGGCTACGCTCGCACCCAAACCGTAAAAGAAGCAGTAACTGCGCGGAAGGACAGAGTACATGTATGCATACGAGCACACAAACACACACACACATACATGCATACACAGGTCAAAAGCCAAAGATCGCGTGTAAAATCTCCAGCGATCTCAACGGAGGTCAAAGAAACCCCGTGCCTTCACCCCTTCATGGGCACGAAAAAGAGCACAGTGGCATGCAAAACACAGCTGCTGTATCGGCCCTTGCTGTTGCTGACCACGTATTCGGTCGCATAGTTGTGCAGGGAGAATATCGCCCGTTTACGTAAAACTTTATTATAAGAGAGACTAGTTAAGTTACAGGGATACTTGGAACTAAAGGGAATACTTGCCATGAAACGTCGGGTATTTGGCAGCGGTACCCGGACTAACATGGCTGCCATAGTTCGCATACCACGCATGTTTCCCGAGGCTGCCGTCTTACTTTGTTTTGTTCCTCAGCAGACCTCCGCCCATTTAATGCATACTTTAATTGCTATATTATATTTTGATTATGCATACATATTGTGATCAACTATGCACCGGCAGCTCCTCTGCGGCGCAGCAGAGGCCGCAGCGCCCGCGCGCAGAGAGGCCCTAGAGAGGCTCCGATTAGGCGTCGTCGGCGTGTTCTTGTCGGCCCCCGCGCTCGGTGACTGCACGGCAGCAGCGCGTCTAACTGCAGGTGTCCTTCTGTGCAGACGACCGACTCGCTACAGCTGCAGAAGCCGCAGCTGAACGTGGCGGTGCGGAGTCTGGCGCGGCTCGCCGCCACCTCCCATGTCTGGCTGGAGGAGACGGTGAGTGCATGATTCTAGCTGCTATTGCTGCTCTTATGGGAGGATGGCAGTTGAAACCCAGTTTCTTGAAAAGCTGCAAACTACGTCACACGATCCTCACGGTTGGGGGCCGGCCAGGGTAAGAATACAAGGGAATCGGGGCCGCGCGAGATCGGCGCGGCTGGGAATGACGCCAGTGCGGCTCCCATTGCGCCGGTCGGGTCCATCATCAGCGAGACAAGCACGAGCCAGGGTGAATGGGATGTCACCAGCGTCAAAGCTAGATGAAGTGAGCTTCTGGTGATCTTGCAGGCTCGAGGTACACCCATTGCAAAGCCTGACCTAAAAGTTGGAAAAATGTTCCGTGTCGCATTTCATCGAAAACTCGTCCCCTACTGCCATGAAATTATGAAATACTGCCATGAAATTATGACGAAAGCAACTAAGTCCCCTAGCGACCACCGTCACCCTCCGTGCAGCCCAACTGACTGGCCGCTCCATTCCAGGGCATCTCGGATCTGTCGTACTTGCTGAAGAATTCGATCTCAGACGGCGACCAGCTGATCAGTTTTATCAGCCTCGGCATCGTCAAAGTATCGGAACGGCTGGAGCAGTTGCAGCAGCGCCAGCTGCTGACCAAGCTGACCAACCTGCAGCGGGTGAGCATCCGCCTGCTGAACGCCTTCCTGCAGCGACGGCCTGCGTTCCGCGTGCTCTGTCACGGCGACTTCCGCGACGGCAACCTGCTGCTGCGCGAGACGCCGGACGGCGACTGGCAGCTGCGCGCCGTCGACTGGCAGGCGTCGCGGCTCGGCGGGCCGGCGCTCGACCTGCTCTACCTGCTGCTGTTCTCGCTGCCGCGCCGGCTCATGGCCGAGGTCGAGGCCGACGTGTTGGCCGCCTATCGCCACCACTTCAACCAGAAGCTGGCCGAGCTGGGCTGCGCGCGCCGCTACTCGGCCGACCAGCTGAGGCTCGACTTCACCGCCGCCAAGCTGGTCGGGCTAGTGTGGTGTCTGTCTGCCGTACAGTTCTGGGAGCGCGTGCCCGGCTGGGTGGAGCACACGGTAGACTTGGCGATCGAGGTTGACACTCTCGGGCTGCTGGACGACCTGGCCTGAGGTCGGGTCACCGGCGCGCCGCCGCGCCGACGACCGCCGAAGGGCATTCGTGACCGACTCAAGGGACTTGGCCGGGCTGCCCCGGCGCGATGTGCCAGTACTGCGCATGCGCGGTCTTCGTGTCGAAGCCTTCGCTGTAGGTGTTTCGGGGAACTCCATGGCCTGTCTGCATGGATCCGGGACCCAGCGCGTGCTGCTTGAGTGTGCCCGTGCACCCTGGCTGGCAGCAAATTCTCTACTCTTTGTGTACGTAGGAAGAGTTTGGGGTGATTAACGCGCTCTTGAGTCTTGGAGTTTGTGATGATGTGTATTTCGAGCTGCATTTGTGAGTCGCCGAGGTTTTTCAGTGTATGTGCCAATTGATAACGAGTCACACAGTTCAACGCGTAGGAATTGAGGGTTTTGTGACGTAAAATGTGAAGTACAAATCTTCTCGCAACTTGTTGCAGTCATGCTTTGGTGATCGTGCTGTTGCTTACCGTGATCTGTACATTACAGCACGTTTCAACGATTGTGGGCAAATTTCACCAAATTCTCTCAGGGTGGACATGTTGTTCCATTGGATCGTTCGCGTTCAAAAGGCGCATTGGTCAGCTGGCACGCTCTTTAAGGGTCCTGTCCGGACTCTAGCTCACGTCTTCCGCGTCTGGTTGCTTCCGTATAGCATTCTGTTGCTGTCCAACACCCCCATGCATTCGCACGTTTCACTGATATTTTAACTACACATAAGGTATCTACGCTAAGTTTTGCAGTGAATGTGTCCCGGAGGTGTTACGGTTAACAATTGGCATTGTTTCCCACGTCGTTTTGCTGCTCTGCGGGCGGAGATTGTCAGCCGCCGTCTGCCGGTGGCCGTGGTCAGAGACCGGCAGTCGCCGTCCTAGTATTGCCTGTTGATTTGTATTGAGACTGTGTCTTGATGTTGTTCATAGTAATGCACTCACAACACCATTCATTGCATATATTTCATAATAAATGACCACAACGAGAGAACGCTATTTTCGTCACGGGCAATGCCCAGCGGCTCACCAAGCTGTGCTTTGCGATGCTCACGCTTCAAAAACGATCGTCTGCTTCATCAAACACGCTTATCTCAACAAGTCACCGTGCGGTAAGTTGAAGTGCGACAAGTGAGTCGGCCTCTTCGCTACAGCGGCGATTCTGACGCCGACAATCTGGCAGGGACTTTGACGTCATAAAGATGTCCATGACGTAATTAAAACATGAACTGTTGAGAGGAGTATTTACTAAAAAGGGGAATTGCGTTGTTAAGAAGAGCCTCCTGCACTCAGTAACATGACGATAGTTACGTGGTCAATAGTCATACCAATAGTAACGTGTCCTACCTTTAACCATAAATTTTGTTGTCTATGGCAAGTACGATGCGTTATAACAGGCTGAGGATCTGGGCAGGAGTTAGATTTGGTTTGGAAGTGGTTTGGTAGTGTATGTTGTAACACAGATATTTCTTTTACCAAAATGGTGGGAAGCACACGACTGTCGCCATCTGCTGGTTATCTGCTGGTCAGACATACCCATCTCTACTTCCACCCTGCCTCCACCACTCATAGACGGTGGAAGTCCAGGATACTGTCATAAATACATGGTGTTAAAATCATTAGCTCATGCGTATTGAAATTGCCAGGCTTACAGTAATTTGCTTAAAAGTATTTGTTCACCAATGAACATTTTTATACTTTCAAGTGGAATAGACTACTCTAGACAACTAAATTTCTCTATGTACTATGCATGCTCCTCAACACGCCATAGTCTGACTGCGTGCTGGAGCATGTGTAGGATAACACTCACTGATAGTTCTTCGATCTCCTGAGAGGTGGCCCGCGGCGGCTCCGGATGTGTGCTGAACTCAATATCGTTAGTTGCTCGTGTTTTGGCCCTTGCTGGTGGTGTTTTTACATATTTTTTCCCCGTGAGGCTGAGGTGCTTACTTACATTGATATACCAGGTTATAGTGTTTTTCTTGAGTGATTTGATTACAAGTCTTATTTCTGCAGTAACTCGAAAGAATTAAAGCGTTTGTATTGTGTAGTACAAAACGTGATTAACGATTAATCTTGCGTAGCCTGCACCATAGGCTAAGGGCCAGCTGACGGCAGTTGTATCTGAAAGTCCGGCTGATAAGCGCCAGATAGGAACAACTCGACAAATGTATTTATATTGACCTTGAACGCCACATGACCAGTTGGATGGCAGAATTTGAATGAAGTTATTATGACGGCATGGATGCATGGGTAATTTTGAAAAAGTCTGCACATCTTTAAGGCCTTGTTCCCCAAACATTACGGTTTAGATCTAAGGAAAAGCAGAGCTATGAACTGCATTGATTGATCTTCAAGATAGCAGGTTTACTTCAAAACCACATAGAAATGTGAACACGTCCATTAAAGGGTGCTGAGTCCGAAAAGCAGTATCATAGCCCTGAACTCATGCTGAACAACTAGGGGCTGGGGAGTTTCAAGTTCGAAGCTAAAACAATCAAGTAGGGACATGCTTAGACTTTAACCAGCTTCACAGCTATGACATGATAAATCGCTCAGGTATCGCTCAGGTAATCGCTGCGCACAAACGATCTGACTTTGCTTAATACGCGCTCGCGTGGGGGTCAAATTGAACCCCCGAAGGTCTTTCCAGAATGGTTTCTGAACGGCGCGGCGTAGCCGCACCAAATTTTACATAGCTGTAGACAATTAAATAGCGAATCGTTTGACATACAAATTTGCATGTACCTTGTAAGGTCGCTGACCTATGACAGGTCAAAATCAGGCTGTGGCCCCAGCGAAGTCCACTTCTCGGGAATCGTTTAATCCGATGCAACAACGGAGTGTTAGACGAAGCCATGCATCTCTGAAATGCTTTCTTAGGGCGACATAAGTATTGAATGAGCAAATTACGGTGACCTAAGGTCAGGTATGAAGGCAGACCAAGGACATAACCAACCTGTTTTATTACTCCAGGGCTTGCTGTATGAGATAGTTTCTGGCGTTCATTTCAAATTTATTGATAGCAGGAGCCGTATTATACATTTTCCACTGACTTATTAGAGGTCAGAATAGATCATTGACCGAAAATGATTCAGGTCAACATTTTGTTTTTAGAAACACACTGCCTAGCGTAATCTTTGTCGCTTATTTAAATGCAAAACTCAGAACAATCTGCTATGATTTTGGTCACTATGACCTTCAAAAGGTTAAAAAATCACTGCCCTTAAAGAACATGCGACCTTTTGCTCAGAAACAGTTATCTAGGTTCTGGAAGCGCTTTGGAGACCAACCTGGCATTTGACCCAAAGATCACCGACCTTAAAGAACATGCGACCTTTTGCTCAGAAACGGTGATCTAGGTTCCGGAAGCACTTTGGAGAACAACCTGGCATTTGGCCCGAAGATCATGACCTAGGAACCTCAAACTTTGACCTAGATGAACTTACTCACAGGTCAAAACACTCCGTGAATTTGGTGTTTCTGGTTTTCTTAGTTCCGAAGATCTCAGCGGTGTGAATTTGACCCTTCCCCACCCGAGCGAAGGGTATCCAGCCGGCCACCCGGGTGCGTGTTAAAGAAAGTGTTCCACATTTGTATCGGGTCCTAACCCGAAATAGCCACCGTGAGGATCATTCGGTGCGGTTAACAGCCCTGCCCTTCTTACGACCTAAATCCATTTAATTCCTGGGCTACACGTCCGCGAACACGTACAGGCTTCTTCGTGGAGAGTATATAAATGTCATCATATATGATGCCTTTTCAAGGCTTCATATCTCATGCCTGCATCAATGACGCCATAATAACGCCAACGAAACCCTGTCATTCCACTGGTCACGTGGCGATCAACGCCAAGAAAAATATAATTGTCGAGTTGTTCACATCTGGTGCTCATGTGTACGATTTTCAAATAAAAGGGCGATCAGTTGGCTCTCAGTCAGTGCTGCGCAAGGTACGATGACGTAATCAAACAATAACGTATTGATGAGCATATTTCCTTAACAGAGATATTGTGTTGTCTTGAGCAGCCTTTCCACTTGCATACCTATAGCTATACGTCAGCTTATTTCGTCATATCTGGTGCTTGCTTCCATATCTTCAAATGTGGAGCACTCTTTTTGAGCTGTGAGACATAGGAATCATGTGCACCAGCGGGGTTTGACAAACTGATATCTGTAATTGATACTTCCTAGGCTGCCCACAATAGAAAATAATAAGCTATCCCAATATTAAACCTAAGTTAAGTATAAATTTTACTCGAGACAAAGTTTTATCCTTAAGTAAGTTTGTGCTGGGGTGATAATATTGCGCATTTGACGCAATCACAGTTTCACAATACCAAGTTCACTTGAGTACAAAACCGTAGGAAAGGTAGCATTTCATGACACCGTACAGAAGTTTTCCAACCATAGTGAAAGCATCATGTCAAGCAGGGGCGCAGCTTTACCAAATTAATGAAAGTAGGAGGGGGAGGGTTAAGCAGTGAAAAATCAATAAACCTTTTCGCTACATTACATTAACATGCAATTGTCTTCCTGGATTTGGCAAACTTTGCTTTCAACGCTGGTGGGAGCTGAAGCTCACCCTCCCCCCCCCCCCCCCCATTGAAAATGCAAGCTGCGCTCCTTACATCATGAAACTGCAGTCGTTACAAACTACACCTGACTTCACCCAGTCCTTACACACTACACCTAACTTCACTCAGAACGCACTGCACCTAACTTCACCCAGTCCTTATACACGACATCCCTGACTTCACTCTGTCCTTTCACATCTACACCCAACTTCACGCAGTCCCTACACATACACCTGACTTTACTCAGTCTTATACACTACACCTGACTACTCAGTCCTTACACATCTACCCTTGCAGTGAAAGCCCGTAAAAGATCATCGCACTGGCATTTAGTGGTTTGCAGTACGGTGCAGGACAGTAAAACGCCGCCGAAACTGACCTATACCTTGCGAGGCAACTGAAGAACTACTATCACGAGGACCCCC